TCAGCCCCCCTGTGAAAAAAGGGGTTCTAAATTTACGACCTGACCGCATATAAGGGTATTTCCTCTCGTGTGGTTAGGTCATGGAGGTAGGAAGTAAGGAGTCGCCCTAAACAAGTTTCTCCGTACCCTGCTCTGAAGCACCGGCGATCCCTACGTGGTGACCAAAACATTGGGTCATTTACCATTGAGTTCTATGGGATTTGGACGCGTTTCGGGTGTAAATATTTTATAATTACGTCGCAAATATACATATAAATGTATATATTTTCTTTTTCTACAACACTTCAGAGTCCTAATTATGTGAAAACAACATATTTTTAAACAACATTTCATTCTGAACGGAATTAAATGCTATACTTTTCACAGGACAGTTTTCTCAGAATGGTTTAATTTGAATGAAATATTTTCACAAGTTTTCGTTAATTACATTAGAAAAAAAAATTAAGGTAATTCGATTTTATTCGGTTAAGGTACAAAAATTAAGATCAAAGTTTATTGTATTATTAATATTAAAATTATGCATTATTTCTTTTCTATTTATAGAGCTATTTCCTAAAATACTTCTTAAATATGACATGATTTTTTGGCTTCTTTAAATCGAAAAATGTAAGTCAATTTATAATTAATGCTCTATTTTGTTCATTTTAAATTAGAGAACTATTAGTAAAAATAGTATTTGACTTTCTCTGAACATTTCTGAAAGGAAATAAAATAAGTTTTTTTTTTTTTTAAGTATTATTTAAAACTTGTAACTGAGTTATTATAAATGTAAAGGGAATAATTCTTTTAATTATACTTATCAGATTTTTTTTTTTACCCTTCATTTCAACAATATATATTCCAAAACTCTTTATTACGTTCTTAAGTGCGCATCTCATAGCATTTGCTTACAATACCTTTTAACAGATTGCTTTCCAATACGAACAAAAACTGCTTGTAAATAGTTTTATAACGTATTTGTCAACAGGATTTCAATTTATGTTTACAATTCAATATTAAGGTTATTATATATTAGATAACATTTATAATCATTATAAATTAGATGCATTTAATCATTAGATTTCTTCACAGTACTTTCACAGTTGTTTATAAGTGAATAAATTCTTCATTTCAAATACATTTATAAATAATTTAATGAATATTTAAGTATTTTGTCAAAGGCAGATACATGCTTTTGCAAGCACATGCATAAATACCCATACATATTTGCTATTTATCATTTCCGGCATGTACAAATCTTTAATTTTGTGCATTCACTATATTTTTTCGTGTAAAGTAATTTACACTAATTTAGCATACACCCGAAAGTTTTACATAAAAAATATATGATATAATAATTTGAATGAAAAATTATAAGTATTATTTTTAATACCCACTCAAAGGTCAGTTTTTCTTCAAAAATCCTCCACGATGGCATCTCTCTCTTTAGGCAGATAGCCCTTGCATGCGTTACTCTATTTTAATAAAACTTAATCTGACCTATGTGCCTAATTACAAATATTTTAACATACATAATTTTATATTTACATTTAGCCATCAAGTTTCAAACTTTTCAAATCTTCTAGAAAATAAATTTTGGCAGATCTCTTTTTAGCAATTTTCTTAAAATCTATATTTTGTGTTGCAACAGCTTAGAATTTATAAAAACAAATTCATAATCAAAATCGCTGTTGTTAGTTATCGAAAAATAACCAAGATGTGATTTTTGCGTAAATGTCAGTAAACTATACAAATTGCTATTATCCATCACACTATGAATGTTTCTTTCATGCGAGAGTGTCCCTTTTTTCGATTTCTATGGAACTGTCGTGTGTCGAAATACTATCAGAATTTTGTCAAGCGAGCTTCTGAATGTAAACAAAAAACACCCCGTCTGGTGACCCAAGCTTCAAAGCAATGCTTCACTTCTAGCGCGGAATGGCCCCTCCTCCCTTTCCTACCTCCATGGGTTAGGTGGAAGGGAAGAGGCGTGGGAGACCCTCGGACCCGTCCCTCCCCTCCAAAGTTACTCTCCAGCAAAATTGGGGGTGGACCTGAGGTAAATCACACTGTCACCTGTGAGATACTCAAGGCTGTTGCCAACGACAGTCGTAATCTTGCGCTCCTTGTCACGAGGAATTTCGTGGGCTTGGGCTCACTACATCAGACAAGTGAACATTGGTAACAACAACAGCAAATGAGCCAGAGAAAAACGAACAATATTTTCGGATTTCCTTCCAATGACAACGGGTGATACCCTTTAATAATTAATATTGATTTTTAAAAAATTTTTCTGTTTTGCATTATGATTAAAAAGGAGAATGCATTTGTTTTTGATAAACATGTTAGAACTACAGTGTAGAACATCGATTTTTACAAAATTTAAAGCCCGTGCCAATGAAATAATTTCCCTCGGAAAAGGATGTTGTTCATTCGTGGTGTCGGCTTAATGTCGAAGATGATCTTACAAACATCAAATTTTTATCATTATTAATAAGCATTTCATATATGCTTGCTACTGGAAATAAACTGGTTTGTATTTACCTTGTATACAAGGAAAACCTTAAAAGCTCGTTCAGTTCGTTCCCTGCTATTCTAACCTATGTAGAACTAGCACTGTTCAGAAATCTTACACACTTTGCCCACTAATAGGCGATGTTCTTCTTTCATTCTGTTTAAATTCTCTTGAATTATACTTCTTTTTAATCGGTAATTATGTGACTATTTGTCCCAAACACAGACGCAAACAAAATAAATAAATAAATCTGATTTTATATATTTATTTTATTTTCAGATTTTATATTACGCACAAAGAGGCGTTTTGTTTAACGTTTTGTGTTTTTACCTTTATTTATTAAATATCATGTTCTTCTCACTTAAACCATAAAATTCAATTCTACAGTAATACCACAAAAATAAATTAAAAAGAGCATATCCTTAGAATTTCCGAGACACAGTCTCGTGCGCTGGAGATAATTTTTTCCCCCTCGTACAGTGTTGCCACTGCTCACTTTGAAATCCATGAGTTTGTTAATCAAAAATTCTTTAAAATTTTACGAAATATGAAATAGATAATAAAACAAATGCTAAACTCAAAATTTCGGCTTCCAGATGCCCATATTCGAGTGAAGGACTACATTATTCAAAATTTGATGTCTCTAGGTACCGTTGTTTTTTCCCAGTGCGAGAAACATACTTATATTCATGCACATTCTTCATTATTCAGTTTCTTTAAATATAATACAAGGCTCTGATATTTGGTGGCAACAGTTTGAAAAGTGAAACGCCGTCTATAGTGAGCCCACGCAAAATGCTAAAACGAAATTGATAGCCGTTCTGAACAATTTGCCTCTTTAGGCTAATAATAAAATAAAATAAAATACTTGTCAGCGTATGAACTATCTGCGCATTTAACAATTACCCTATTAAATCATTTTAAATAACAATAATTTAAATTGCTAGATGACTAAGGAAATAAAATTCATTGCATTGAAAGCATCGAAGTTGACATGCTGTCTTTTTGCTATATATATTGACTTAACTGAAATTCGAAATTAATGTTAAAAAAAAAAAAAAATCACTCGAAATTATTTTACAGTGTTTCCTTCCCTTTTCTTTTGTGCAATATTTAGATAATACGTAACAAATCTCAAAATAATTTTTTTCTTGGTTTTTTATTTTTTATTTGTTTTTGTAAATACTTATTTTCTTTTAAACAATATGCTTGGTCCGAAATGAAAGGGCCTTTTTCTTCTTTAGTGACATTAGCTTGATAATTAGCGGGAAAGTCGGACCGGCTACGGTGGGCTATTCAAAACTGTAAAAGAACAAAAGCTTCACGTCACCTAACCATCGAAGTATTTTCCCGCCGATTGTTTGCTAAGGATGACTTTTTCTGATCTCACTTCTAAATGGAAAATCGTAGACTTTCCGTTCATTCTTTGTTAATCACATGAATTTTTTGCAAAGCTGGAAAGCAATATTTAAAAAACTTAAGTCCTATCTATTGAAAATTAATTAGCACTTTTTTTAAAGTATAGGTAGGTAGTGGTAGGCCGGAGGGTGCCCTGGCACCCAGAGCACTCCCCCTGGCTACGCGCCTGCAGTTAATGAACTATCTGAGTATTTAACAGCTGTCCTATTAAATCATTTGAAATAACAAGAATTTAAATTAATACATGGCTAAAAAAAATAAAATTCATTGCCTTGAAAGCATCGAAGTTGACATGTTCTCTATATTAATTAAAAAAAAGTTGAATATTTTTGCTATATTTATTGATTTAACTGAAATTCGAAATTAATATAAAAAAATCGCTCAAAATTATTTTACTGTGTTACCTTTCCTCTTTTGTGCAATATTTAAATAATAAATAGCAAATCTTAAAATTAAATATCCCAACTTCATTTCTTTTCTGTCCTTTTTTTAAAAATGCTTATTTTTTTTTTAACCATTATGCTTTTAGATACTTAGTTCGAAATGAAAGGGCTTTTCTTCTTTAGTGACATTAAACTAGGACTAGTGGGAAAGCGGGACCGGATATGGAGGACTATTTAAAGCTGTAAAGAACAAAATCGTTACGACTTGAAAGTGTCGCATAACCTTCGAAGTATTTTCCCGCCGCTTGTTTGCTCAGGAAGGAAGATTTTTCCTGATCTTACTTCTAAATGGAAAATCTTAGACTTTTAGAATTTTTGTGGAAGCTGGAAAGCAATATTTTAAAAATCTTTAAGCCTTATCTATTGAAAATTATTTAGCACTTTTTTAAAGCAAAAATAGTGGTGAAGGAGAGGGCACCCCATCTGGCTACGCGCCTGTAAACATAGTATATTTTACTCTAAAAGTCTTATTAAGTCCTCGAAAATTTAGATGAGGTAGAACTCTTAACATCATAGCTCCCCCCCCCCCCCCCAAATTCTTTCTGGTTGTGCTTACACCTGCGTTTCTCAGTTAAAAGTGAGAGAAGGTTTTAGAAGACGACTCAACCGAGTTGGGGAACTGGTAATTGTTCCAAGAGTGACGAATAGGAGCGCGTAAATTTCCTGTTAGCTCAAACTACTGCAAGGGGGAATTCTTTACAGGCTTGCTCCGAGTCCTGTCAGATGAATTTTGTCAGTTGCGGCAAAGGTAGCGCATGCGCAGTAAAGACATCCTTATCTCCGAAATGGCTTCGTGGCTCTTCCTGTACATGTATGAGGAACGTTGTGATTTATTAGGGGCAGAAATCGCTGCTTATTGATGAATATTAAACACCCACGTGAAAGATAAGTAAGGAAATGTTTATTTTATTCAACGCATTAAAACTCTTGCGAGTATATTTGTGTAAATTCATAAGAAAAAAATTCTCATTTATTTGAGTCATTTCTTTATAGATGAAAAAAATATGTATTAATTATTTTCTTATTCTAGATGCATTTGTATTTGAAACTTGAATTTTTGGGCGAGCATTTTTATAGATAGCGTATGACCATAAGTAGCATATGACCAAAATTTATCAAATATGTGGGCATCATGGAAGGGGACAAATAATTTTTTGTAATGTGGCTGCTGAAGTAATCGAATATATTTATATTTATTTGCTTTTATGCTGGTAGTTTCTGATACTGAGAAAAATCGTTAAATGTACTTCCATCGTGTTATGCTTATGTATAAGAAAATAGTTTAAAATTATGTTTAGTTCGTAAACAGGAGAAATATGCAATTTATAGTTTTATTGCCCCCCTTTTTTTATCTGAAGTATTATGAGACACAAACTAAAAGGGAAAAAAATAACATCTTGCCATTTAATTTCTAAAAATTAACGTAAAAGTATACGGGGGAGGGAAAAAGTTAGCTGTATTATGTTTGTGTTCGATTGGTATGAAAATAATTGCGAACAGCAGGGTGTTTATTCTGCTGTTCACTCTAAGGTATATAATTTTTGGAACTGTAAATGTGTTAAGTTAATCCAATGTTTAATTCAGATGCTATAATTTATGACTGTGATTCTTTATATAGTCTATTATTTGTTTATTCGTTATGAGAACGTAATTCATGGCAAGAAATAATTTGTAGTGCACGAAAGGCGCCATGTAAAAACTCGTTGGGAACGTGAATAAAAATATGACGAATAAAGTAATAACCAGGTATTAAATTTAAGTACACAATTAAGAAGTACCGATCCTAGACCGTAGGGTCGTCGACATGCAAACTATATTTGCCGCCCCTTTTTATGGAAATATATGTTTGATAATCATTTCGCTGCCTTTAAATTTGGCCGACCACGTGCTGACAGCTTTAGTATTAGTCCTTTTTGGCGACATTTGGGCGCGAAATGAAAAATTATGATAACCGTGATATTTATGGTAACCCTAAATACTGAGCTGGAAATATGATGCCATTTCTGTCCACGTAACTCAAACGAATTTGGTAGGTATCAGAGCTTTAATGGCGGGAGGGATAATTTGCATGCTTTTTTTGAAGTTACTTACAAGTTAGGAAAGCACAACTTTTAAAATATTTTTTAAAAAGCCAAAATTTGGTAGTTAAAACTGATGCTTTTAATATTACATCACACATGAGTCGACATTTTTTCATATATCAACTCCACCCCCCCCCCCAAGAAAAAACACATATTTAGTAGCATGAGGTAAAATCTTGGTGTTCGTTTTGCTAAGGAACCACATGCAAATTTAGACTTCTTGCATGTTTCTTAAAATGGGCAATGATCAAAATTACTATGGTCTAAAAATACTTTTTTGCCTCATTTCTTAAATTAGAACTATAGGGATGTGTAATTGCATGAATTCATAGACCAAATTCAGGTTTCATTGTTGCTTTTATAAATCTGAATTTTTTGTAATAAACACTATAATAAAAGTAAGAATACTGATTTCAATATCTTTAAATGTAATTATTATTCTAAAGTTTAGATATATTCTTATTAAGTTAAGATATGCTCTTATTTTATGATAAAGTTTAGATGTACAGAACAGAAGGCACACTATGTGCTTATGACTCAGTCAACCACTGTGACAAGATAACTTATGATAATAATTAAGCTCAAATGTAAAATTTAAATTCAAATAATTTTGTAGCCAAAGGCTATACAAATCAATTTAATTCAAAGTTGGTTCAAAACTTAACCAACATGGAATTCAATTATCAGCAATTATAATGCAAGACTGAAGACTACAAATCTTATTTGATCTAACAACCTAGTAACGTGGCTTCGAAAGGCAAAAACACGGTTTGTTTTACAAACTAAAAATTTCATTTGGATTCTGGTGAGAAAACGGATGATGAAATTGACAGTAAAGATCCCAAACATAAAATAATTCTGGTTACAAAATAAAGAAATGTTACATTATACTTTGTTCCCTGATTAATTATTCACTACATGAACTACTGTAATGCATTTTTGTTTGTGTAATATACAAATTATTTATTTTATTTAAATGCTGTCCAAAACTAAACAGGATTTTGCAACACTTCTTCACTTCAAGAAATAAGAAGAGAGAACAGTATTTATGAATAGAAAATATATACATAGGCTAGCAGAAGGATGCCTTCATATAAAGGACTAAGAGAAACTGGCTCAGATTCACATTTGTAAGGAAAACCACAAAAGCTCCCATATAGCCAGCCTGAACTACCAGTGTTGAGTGGCTTATCACTCCACCACTAGTGAGCATTCGAATCTTTTACAGAAATCATCAGTTATGATAATTGTTTGTTGTGTATTATTACTATTGGTAAAAAATTTACTCATTATGATAATTTAATAGCTTTTAAATTATAATCATAAATTACTTGTAATGAATTGAGTGATTAAAAAATACACACTTCTTAATATTTTTACCTTACAAAATTTAATTCATAAAATGTATTTCTAACACTGGTACAAGATTTACTCATTATAATTTAATTTGATTTCCTTCAATTTGAAATATTTTTTTAAATTTCCTTTTAATAACAGAATCTAAGAAACTAAAGTCACATATACTAGTTTGAAATGCACTTATTAACCTTTTGTAAATTTCTTTATTCATAGCATAAAAATTAACCTTTTGTAAGTTTAAATTATTAGCCAAATATTAATGTAATATATAAATATTAACTAACTACTTAAAATATTAATATTTAATACATTAATATTATATTTTGTAATTTAAAATATTAACCTTTCGTAAATTTCATTACTCAACATAATCATTGCCATAAATTCATTTACGGCAGTGTTTCAAGAATTTATCATAGCAAGTACTAGAAATGTTGAAAATTAGAGAAAGACTGTTTATTCTAATCAAGAGCTTATTTTTTTTAGAATTGTTATTTAGTCTAGATCGGGTTTTGTTTACAATTCGCCATTTTTTTTTCGATCTTCAAAGTCGGGTCTACCTTGGCGACAGAAGTTTGTCGCCAAATCAAAAAATTGCCAAAAGGACCAATACTAAAGCTGTTCCACGTACTGTACGCCATCTCCGCCCCCCTCCAGGATCCCTCTGAAAATAAGTAGTGCAATTGACTCAATACAATAAATAAAGTGATATGGCGTAAAAATTAAATTATTGTAAACCTAATAAAATCCAAGATAATGTATCATGAATGTATGAAAAATAAATAATTAGAACATTATTTAAGATTATAAGGGATGCTTTTATTCAAGTATTTCATCAGAAATGCCTTTATACCTGCAAAAGAAAACGATACGAGAACCTCAGTCATCTGGATTTGCTTGGTTTCAAGCCATATAAATTCAAGCTTATTAATATTTTTTGAGTTCATGAACAGCAGGGTATGCATTTTGTTTTATGCAAATAAAGAGTTTGTTAAATTTTTTTACAATAAAAATAAAATGATCATGCATTTAATTGTAGGGTGTGTGTAAATAAAAGTCAACACCATTCGGTATTGTTCTGTTATCAGGACTGGGTCCAGAAATGTATGTATCTGTGCATGTATATGTGTATAAACATATGTATCTCTGTACACACACATATCTGCACATATATGCACTTCTGAAATTCCATCATTCTTCTGAAACCCATCATACTTTAATTTTACTTGAAATAGAAATGACCTTTTTTTAGTCAAAACTACATTTATTTGAATTCAGATGAAATAAGATAAAAAAAAATAAGATGCCCACTTTTGTATACTAACTATAATTAGGGCTTAATTTTGAAGTGCCAGAGCCCTATGAAAAGCCAACAGGAACAACAATAAATAAATAAAATAACCAATAATAGTTAAAATAGTAATTAATGATTGAAATAATTAAAGTTCAATAAAATCTTGGCTTATTTAGTGCTCTGTCTGAAATTAGTTTCATTTAATATCTAAAAAATAGCTCAGTTGGGCTTCAAATGAATTTAAGCCTTAAATATACAGTATAATGTACTAGTTCAAGGGATGATAAAAACAAAAATCATTCTTTTTTCTAGTGCATCAGTGAAAAAAGGTAAAATGATTAAAGCTTCACTAATGAAAATAGAGAGAATTCTAGAAATAGTATAAGAGTACTGAAAGAAATTTTAATTTTTTTTTTTAATCTTGCACATGCACTTATATATATAAAATTTATTTTCTAATAGATTATTTAGTATATTATCTCCTCTGACAAAAGTAGTTAGAATTCTATTGAAAATAAGTTACTTATTAATATATTTAATAATTGAATTTTTAAAAAGGTACAATTTAAAACTGAAATTGCAATCAATATAATTGTGTGTGTGTGCGCGAGAGCTGCCATGCTATAATATACACACATACACATATATATGCACACACATAAAAGGAAACATATTTCAATTAAAAAGGTGAAATATTTTATCATAGTAATTTTGAATTTTCAGATGGCCGGTAGTGCTTTTTAATAGTAAACACAGATCCTTTCAGAATCCATTTGAGAGTTAGAGGTTTATTTAAAATAGATGCTTTTCATTTTAAATAAACCTCTACTTTTTGGTATGTGTTTCACTGTCTTTAAAATTAATTTTTAGCTTAAAAGGTATAAAAAATTTTCACTGACTCTTCTGAGAAATGAGATTCTGGTAGTACTGGTTTAAACGGAAGGATTCCTAGAAAACAGTTCCGCTGAAAGTGAATTTCCGCCTAGCTACGGAAACAATGTACCGGCTATGTGGGATTTTTTGAAACCTCGCTGAATATGTTTCAGCTGCAGCTTGTACCGGGTAGAGATCAACCAATCAGACAAAAGTTCTGCTTCTGAAGGATCACGTGATCCTAATCTGAGTGATAACAGATTATTGTTCAGTGTTCAAGTC